TGAGGCACTGGGTTTGATTCTCAGCATCACATACAAATAAATAAAATAAAAGGTCCATCAACAACTAAAAATATTTTTTAAATATATTTTTAGTTGTAGATGGACACCTTTATTTATCTTTTTTATGTGGCGCTGAGGAACAAACCCAGTGCCTCCTCTACATGCTAAGCCCCAGCCCCCCCTTTTTTTTTAAGATAGGGTCTCATCAAGTTGCCCAGGCTGGCCTCAAACTTGTGATTCTCCTGCCTTGTTATTGTCATTTGAATGAGTGCATAGTAGCTAACTGAGGAAGAAGTCCCAAAACTTTGTCCTCAGTGCCACTCATCAGGCCCTTAAAGAAGTTCAATGGCATCCTGCACTCTTTTTCCCACCAGCCAGCCTGGCACTATGTCCTCAAAAATCTCTGGATGTTCCCCTGGGTACAGGCCCCACTGTACTGCCTTTGTCAGGTTAGCATCAGCCTTTCCTGGACCACTGCACCAACTTCCTGTCTGTCCCCAGGCCTACCCACCTGCCCTCCACCCCTGCACGCCAACCCTGGGTGCCCTTCAAACAGTGCTGACCACACCCGTGTCATTCAGCTRTGAAAGAAGGTATCCAAATTGGAAATACTGTGAACATAACAAAAGCTGCTCAATCAAAGGCATTTGAGAGGTGGCCTAGGTGGCTTAGCCATGCATGGCTGCCTTAGAGGCGGCCACACTCAGGTTCAGTAAGTCACAAGAATGACTCAGAATGTAGGAAGTGCTACACCTGGGATTCGTTTCATTGGAYACAAATTAAGACCTGCCAAGTAATAACAGGCAAAGGCACAGGACAAATTCTGGGAGAATCCAAAGGCAGAGTTCCAGGACACTGTCCCTGTGAACTCCAGGTACTTCCTCCTGGTACATCGGTGCATTCACACCTGTTGGTCTCCAGCATCCTGAATTTTTATTGGGGTTTCATGATTTAGGTATGGGTGATTAATAAATCACTGATCAATCCCCAGGTCCACAGGCTCCAAATTCCAATCCACAAATCACCAGGTTCTTTCTGGTGCTCGCCCCATACTGAAGCTACATACGGGCTGCCATGAATACTCATTAGCAAAAACTTCAGTATAACCAAAGGGATTTTTCATAAATTGTTTCTATCACTTAGGAAATTGTGCATGTTTTAGCAGCTCTGCTAGGAACCTGGGACAAAGAATAAACAAATACTTATTTTTTCAGTACTGGGGATTGAACCGAGGGGCACTTCACTATTGAACTACATCTCTAGCCCCCACCTTTCCCCCCCCTTTTTTCTTTCTTATTTTGTGTGTGTGTGTGTGGTGCTGGGGATTGAATCCAGGGCCTTGTACATGTGAGGCAGGCACTACCAATTCAGCTATATCCCCAGCACTATTTTTTATTTTGAGATAGGTCCTTACTAAGTTGCCCAGGCCGGTCTTGAACTTGTGATCATCCTGCTTCAGCCACCCAAGTTGCTGGGATTACAGGTGTGTCCCACCATACCCAGTGACAAATTATTATCCAAGAGATGGTCTTAAGGTGACTAAAAGCTGAGCTGATGATTGCCCTATTTCTTTTGGTGAAGCCATCAGGAAAGCTACGATCTTTTCCCTTGAGCTTGTAGAACAAAGCTTAGAGCTGCTGTTGGCCATCTTGCTATCAAGGAGAATACCTGTCTGAAAATAAAGGCAGCCCAGAGGAAAGCAGAGCTAAAAGAGCCAGAGGCCAAGTTCAAAATGACATTGTTAGAACCCCTGGATCCAGCCATGCCTGAAGTCATTACTTCTTATTTAATTCTTTTAACTGACAAACTACTCCCTCTTCATGTTTAAACTAGCTTGAATTGGGGTTTATATCATTTGTGGTACCCTGAGTATTAACCTATTCCTGAAGAAGAAGTGTTTCTCCCCTTCATATTAATACCTTGGTTTAACTTGGCCCAAGATGCCATCCTGTCCCATCTTCCCCAAAACTCCTTCCTTCAATGGCCATTCTATCTACTAGCTTCCTTCCCCCTTAGACTTCCAAGACTCCCTCAGCAAACCTTCCCACCTTTGGGAGTGGTAGTAGTGGTGCTGGGGGTTGAACCCAGTGCATGCCAGGCAAGCACTCTACCACTGAGTTACCCCGCCAGCCCCTTCCTACCTTCTCAAACTCCAATCCTCCATTTCTGACCTTCCCTTTTCAGGAAACCTGTAAAACAGCTCTCCCCATTCCTCCTTCCACTTCATTCACTCCTTAAAGCACTAACACTTGGCATCTGCTACCACCACCTCCCTAAAATTACTTTCCCCAAGGTCACTTAGCAATCTCTCCGTATCAACATCTTCTGTAAGAGACAGTGGCAGTACGTAGCACCACTCCCATGGATCCTTTCATGTCCTGTATGCACTTGTGCATTTGCCCATTTCTCCCTCACACATCCTGTATTACCACAGTCCCCACCTTTGGCATATGGCTTCTCTTCCAACAGTTAGAACTCCCGCCTTTTTATAATTTATTAATTCATTAATCCTCATGCTGCTGGAGGGCTTTGCCTTGACAGAAGTGCCTGGGACTCGACTTCTGAGGGATGTGAAAGTACAAAAGGGCCAAATCCCTTGTTTCTGGACAAATCTGAGGCATAACTTACTTCCAGGGCTCCCTTGTGGCTCTAACTGAAGTACTCTCTGCCCAATAATCATGTGCTTGCTTGGCTTCCTTTTTCTCCTCCTGCTCCCTTACTGGTTTGGTTTCTCTTGGTAGCATTTTTTTTTTTTTGTGGGTTGGCAATCAGATTGAACTCTGGGCCTCAAGTATGCTATGCACATGCTCTATTAGTGGGCTACACCCCCAAGTTGAGGTAGCTTTGTTGCATTTTTATATTGGGGATTGAACCCAAGGGTACTTTACCCCTGAGCCACATCCCTAGTCCTTTCTATTTTTTATTTTGAGATAGGGTTTTGTTAAAATGTAGAGGCCACCTGAGCCTCCAGAATCTCTGGGATTACAGGGATGTGCCACCATGCCCAGCTCCAGGTAGCACTTTCTTAATAAATAATTTGAATACATTTGAACACAAACCCTCATCTCAGAACACTTTTGGGAAATATGACTCAAAACATCATCTCAACACTTTCTATTTCTCTGCCTGTTTAAGGTTGTTTCCCAGAACGAGGTCTCTTCTCTACATATATTACCTGGACTGTCTCATTCATGTCCATGGCTTCAACCATTGTTCCTCATGTCTGATCACCAAACTGCTTTGTACAGTTCAGACTGTAAATTCATCTCTGCTGGACAGCTCCACCTAGCTCTTCAAGAACACCTCCTGATGCATCTAATACAGTAGACACTCATTACATGTGACTATTTTTAAAAATTAAAACTTAAGTTCCGTAGTCATCCTTGCCACATTTCAAGTGCTTAATAGCCATATGTGGTCATGGCTGCAATACAAAATGTTAATGTAGAATATTTCAGTAATCTCAAGGTTTTATTGGGGGCTGGGAATGTAGGTCAGCAGTAGAGTGCTTGCCTCACATGTGTGAGGCCCTGGGTTCAATTCCCAGCATACACACACACACACACACACACACACACACACACACTTTCCTGGGCAGTTTAGACACAACACTTCCAAACCTAACTCATCAACAGCCCTTTGCCTTTCTGTATTCCTCAGCTGTGTCTCTCCCAGGTGGATGGCCCAGCTACAGAAGGTGTATAAAGATATGCAGGGGTAGATCACAGATAGAGATTCCCTCCCATTGGCATCTCTCTCTGAAGCTGGGTAGACAAAGCTGATGATGAAGAACCTAACAAAGGCCGTCTCTGACATGATGGTAGCTTGGTTAGAGCCAGCAGATTGGCTAGGTCAGAAATTACTTTTTCACAGTAAGTTCTTCCAGCCCCATCTGGCTGCCCTCAGTCTTATGCGAGTCAAGAGCATTTATCTCCATCTCTTGGGTTACTTACCTCTGTGTTCCAGGATGGGCACTTGATCCAATCAGTTAGTTCTGGAAATTTTATTGGAAATCTCAGGGGGAAAAAAAAGTGTGCTCCTTCTACCAAGTTGCTAAGCTGTTGGGAATTACGTCTGGAGATAGGGAAAGCCATCTTGCCACCAAGAGAGGATACCCTGCCTGAGGTTGAATCTAAATGCATAGGAAAACTGAATTAGGGATGGTGAGCCACAGGTTCCTCATATCTTTTGGCCCCTGCATTCAGCTGATCCTGGCCCACTCTGGACTTTTCAATTATTTGAGCCATAGATTTTATACCTCCTGATGTCCTCAAACACATATTATTTCTGGGCCTCGTTTTTTTTTTTTTTCCCCGTCTGGGACGTAATCTCCTGGACCACCTGCCCTTTTCCTCACAGAAGCAGCCAAATTAAGTTCGGGATCCGCCTCCTCGCGGGGCCTCCCCAAGGTCACCTGCTTCTTCCCTCGCCCAGCTCCTTGGGGGCGATGTCCACGTCCCTCAGCTGCAGGGCCAGGCGCTCTAGGCTGCGGCGGGACCTTCTGAGAGCCTTGGCATCTCTCTGGTTTCCAGGACTCGGCGGCTACTCTAGCCTTCAGCAGTGACTCGAGACTCTATCCCCTAAGGTGGCTTCTCTATGGTTGACTTTTCTCCTTTGTCCGGAATTTCCCCCGAGAGGACGCTCTGGTGGAACCCAAGCCCTCCCCACGGCTGCCTCTGCAGCCCCTTTTAGATGCAACCGGAGAAGCCCCTGCAACCCTACGAGAGTCACCCGCTTTTCGCTCCCGAGGGGTCCGCACTGAGTAGGAGGATGGCGGAAGTGAGTAAGAAGCTGCCCTTCCCTCTCGCCGCTCTTCTCTATGGTCGCTTCCTTCGGCGACGGGAAAAGGGGTCCTGGCGCCTGCGCAGCACCGGGCTGGGCTCTCGTCGCGGAGCGGAGGGGGGGGGGGCGCTGGGAGCGGGAGCCGCCGCCGCCGCCGGAGCTAACCGCGGGGACCGAGATGCAGGTGGGACCGGAACCGGAACCCCCCCCTTCAAGTGCCTCTTCCCTCTCCGCGACCCGACCCCGGAGCCTGAGAAGAGCCCAGGGTGGGGGTGGGCGTGGGGACCCGGGGGCAGGAGGGGCACTTTGCCCCGGGGAATGCAGCAGACTGGGCTGGTCCCCAGGAGACTGCGGCCCGGGGGAATGCGCGTGAGGGGGTGTCCAGCGAGTCGGGTCGGGTCGGAGTGGATTGACCACGGGGCCCGGAGTGTCCGAGCCGGGAGCGGAGCCTGCACCCTCCACCACCCGCCCTTCGGGAAATGTCAGAACTGAGCCAAGAGGCAGGTGCACCGGGAAAATGTTTCTGAGTCCTGCTTGGCAGAAGAGAAACTGAGCCACCCTCTCAGGAGCCACAGGGTCAGCAGGCCTGAAGGGGGCTGGGTCTGCCTGGTGCAGAGGACTGGGTGGGCCTGTAGGAGCCGAGGTGGCCTCTGGCTGGGGACCCGTCTCTGCTTTGTCTGCACCTCTTGGCTCGGTTCCCCTGTGCTCCATGACTCCCGCATCTCCTGGCCGCTTCTTGTGGGTTTGGAGTAGTCCCTGTATTTGGGGCCATCTGAGTATGTAAGGCCTAGGCCATAGAGGAAGGGGAGGGTCGCAGACTTGCAGCCTGGCTGTGGATTTGAGCAGGAGTGTGGGATTGCTGATGGATCAGGGACACTTTTCCTGAGCTGCCTTGGCCCAGACCTGGGGCCAGTCATTTCCAGTGTGGCATGGGGGAGGAGCACTAACCAAAGATCCAAGGGTTGTAAATTCCTCACCAGCTCTGCCACTTTGTAGTGGTGAGACTTTTGAGAAGCCTCTTCCGTTCTCCAATTTCTCTTTTAAAAACTTGGAACTCCAGTACTCTCCCTCATAAAGATAGCAGTAAGGGCAGTCATTTCTCACGTGCTTATTTTGTGTCAAGCACTGACATGTTCCATTCCATTTTCCGAAGGACTGTAGGGAGTAGAGATCATTAGCTGTTTCACAGCTCAGAGAGGATGTGTAATCTGTTTACTCCAGAACCCTGGCCTTAACCATTAGGCTAACCAGCCTTCATGGCACACTCCCCTGGAAGAGAAAAGGGAGGCAGATCCTAGGACCCAGCGCTCTGTAATGTTTTGTTTTGTGGCCAGCAAAGACTTACCCTGACGCAACCCACCATCTCTTCCTCTGGTGGTGCTGCTGCTGCTGTGCCCCTAGACTGATGGGGAGCTCAAGTGGGTGCTAGCCATGCCAAGTCTCCTTCATGCAGTGTTTAGGTGCTGGGCTCTGGAGTCAACTTCCAAAACAATTGTTTGAATTCATTGTCCATCCATGGTTCTGAACGTGTGAACTCCCTCCTCAGAGCTGGACCCTAGGGTGCAAGAGGCAGGATCTCTAAGCTCTAAGCACCCCATTGGCCCCCTGAGAGCTGGGGTAGTAAGGAGCTGTCCCTGAGGCTGGTCCAGCCAGTCTCTGGGGACAAGGACTATACAGTGGGAAAACAGTAGACTCCGATTTCTGAAAGTTATCTGAGCTTCGGTTTCCTCATCTGTTGGAGAGGTTATTAAATTCTCTCACAGGGAAAGGTAAGATGACCCCATGGAAACCTCTCGTATGGCTCACGAGGACTGTGCGGTAGATGGTGGAGGATCCATCTTAGAGAAGGGATAATGGTGATGGGGAAAGTCTTTTGTGGAGGAAGGTGCTCCATGGTCCTCTTGCTCCTGGATCCCACACTGGGCGAGTGGCCTGAAAGGCAGCAGGAGAGATTCAGGCTAGACACCGGGAAGCCACTACCCTGGGGCATGGGGAGCATGCAAATCTGGGAGAGGAAAGGGAGGCAGTTTGGTTCTCTCCACCCTTGCCCTCTGAAGAGTCTGAACCAGAGTAGGGAGTCCCTGGCTTGGGGTGGGACATGCCCCCCAATCCCACCTCTGCAGTGACTCCATGTATGTACCTCTCTCTTCTCCTGCAGCTGCTGCCGCTCACCCCGTGTCTTCTGGCCGCTTCCCTCTTTGTTGCCCCTCCCCACAGGCTCCCCCTCTCCTCCTCCTGGGGCCCATCATGAATGGTGCCCCCTCCCCAGAGGATGGGGCCTCCCCCTCCCCTCCCCCCCTGCCACCACCCCCTCCCCCAAGTTGGCGGGAGTTCTGTGAGTCCCACGCCCGGGCTGCAGCCCTGGATTTTGCCCACCGTTTTCGCCTCTACCTGGCCTCCCACCCCCAGTACGCGGGGCCTGGGGCGGAGGCTGCCTTCTCTCGCCGCTTCGCTGAGCTCTTCCTGCAGCACTTTGAAGCTGAGGTGGCCCGGGCCTCGGGCTCCCTCTCACCACCAGTTATAGCTCCCCTGAGTCCTGGTGTGGAGATCCCTCCGCCACATGACTTGTCCCTCGAGAGCTGCAGGGTGGGCGGGCCCCTGGCTGTGCTGGGCCCCTCTCGATCATCCGAGGACCTGGCCGGCCCCCTCCCCTCCTCAGTCTCTTCCTCTTCTACGACCTCTTCGAAGCCGAAGCTCAAGAAACGCTTCTCCCTCCGCTCAGTCGGTCGCTCGGTCCGAGGTTCTGTCCGTGGCATCCTGCAGTGGCGGGGAACTGTTGACCCTCCCTCCCCAGCGAGTCCCCTGGAGACCTCATCGGGCCCCCCAGTCCTGGGTGGAAACAGCAACTCCAACTCCTCTGGTGGGGCTGGGACTGTTGGTCGGGGACTGGTTAGTGATGGCACGTCCCCTGGGGAAAGATGGACTCACCGATTTGAGAGGCTGAGACTAAGTCGGGGAGGGGGGACCTTGAAGGATGGAGCAGGGGTGGTGCAGAGGGAAGAGCTGCTGAGTTTCATGGGGGCCGAAGAGGCGGCCCCTGACCCTGCCGGAGCAGGCCGGGGAGGAGGGGCAGCTGGGCCTACCTCAGGGGGAGGAGGACAGCCCCAGTGGCAGAAGTGTCGCTTATTGCTCCGGAGTGAAGGCGAAGGAGGAGGAGGAAGTCGCCTGGAGTTCTTTGTACCACCCAAGGTGAGGCACGRGGAGGGTGGGCCCCTGGGAGCACTGATGGAGCAGCCAGAGCCTTTACTCAGCCCTGCACATAAGCCCAGGCTCTGCCGGCCTACAATCATAGCTTCAGGACTGTTTTCAAAGTGGGCTTGAGTCTCTGATAGTAGCTGTGGGCAGGACTGAGACAGCAGTGTTCCTGCCTTTTGCCCAACTGCCTTAGAAAGGCCCGAGGAAGGAAAGATGCACGTCTGGAGGGAGGGGAGAGTGGGCCTCTGCACACTGGAAGGCTGGATCGCATTCCCTCTCACCTAGGCCTCTAGGCCCCGGCTCAGCATTCCCTGCTCTACTATCACGGATGTTCGGACAACCACAGCCCTGGAGATGCCTGACCGGGAAAACACGTTTGTGGTCAAGGTAGGAGCTCCGAGCCTTCCACCCCGCCTCTCTGCAGTGCTTATGCCGGGAGAAAGCTCTCAGCACTTTTGAGCAAGCATCGTTGTCTGCCAGAGGTATTTATATGTCAGGTGCCTCAGGAGTGTGTCTGCAGGACTGTGGCTTCCCTAGGAGATGTTAGAGTGGGAGATGTTTTCATTAGGGGTGGATGTGGCCTTGGGACTATGTCCCTGGCCCCTGCCCAGGCTGAGGTCCTCCTCTTGACCCCACAGGTGGAAGGTCCCTCRGAGTACATCCTGGAGACAACTGATGCTCTCCATGTGAAGGCCTGGGTGTCTGACATTCAAGAATGCCTGAGCCCAGGGTGAGGACCTGCCTCTGTCGCTGAGGAGACCTGGGGGTGGGGGTGGGGAGCAGCCTTATTCCTCTCTGCTGGTGACTTTCTCTCCAACACCATTTTTCCTGTTTCTGCAGACCCTGCCCTGCTACCAGTCCCCGCCCCATGACCCTCCCTCTGGCTCCTGGGACCTCCTTCCTCACAAAAGAGAACACAGATGGCTTGGAGCTGCCCTGCCTGAACCATTCAGAGAGTCTGCCCAGCCAGGATCTGCTTCTGGGACCCAGTGAGAGCAATGATCGCCTTTCGCAAGGTAAGATGGGGCCTTCGGACCTGGGAGCCTCTGAGCTTCTGTGCAAGGCTCCTGCTGTTAGGCCCCACACCCTCTTTCCAGGTTCTCCTGGGCACCCCATCCTCTCCCCCAGCTGCCCCATCAATTGCTTGTCTCTTGTCTCCAAACACGCGATGCACTCTTAAGCCACAGCTTGCCATTTAGCACCACCACTGTTACCATCCCACACAGGCCCCAAGGAAACTCCCTGACAACTTCTGTGTCCAGCCTTGTCACTTTTTCCCTAAGTCTCCCACAGGCYACTACTCTTACTGGAGATAATGGTTCTCTTCTCCAAGCTTCCAAAACACTTTGTTGACATTTCTGTTTTGTTCTTACTCTGTATATGTTGAGGTCGCCAAATTTTCTTTTGTCTCTGTATCTTTTGGCTTGACCAAACACAAAGACACGTGTCTGCCTAGCCCGGCTCACCTTTCTAGACTTGACTTCCACTCTACCCTTTTCTTCTGGCCGCTGTTCTGGGTTTCAATGTGACAATACCTAGCACACGGCTCTGTTCAGCAAATGAACAAAGAAATCATAGACTCTTGGAGCTAGAATGGATTCACACAGCCTCAGAACTCAGGTAGCAGAGATCAGAGAGAGGGAGTGGCTTTTCTGAGGTCACCTGAGAGTCWCTGACGAAGATGGGCTACATCATCTTCATTCCTGAGCCCCAGCCCTCCTCGCCACACCTGCCTGGCTTCTCAGCATGGCCCAGGCCTGCCACTCAGCAGACATTCAGGCAGGCCCTAGTCCATACAGGGCCCTGTGCTAGCCCTGGGGCAGGATGGATGGGGCAACTCAGATGTCTGAGATGAGCTCTTTGCCCTCCATGGGTTGGCACGACATCACTCCTGAGAAAAAGCAGGTCCCAAAACAGTGTCTGCTTAGTGTCCTCTGACCAGCACAAGCAGGAAGTCCTTAGGAGCTCAGGAGGAAGAGCACAGGGAAGGTGGAGTAGACGGAGTGCTACACAGAGGAGGTGAGACAAGAGAACATGACTCGGAGCAGGTGAAGGCCAGTGCAGAGACCTGAGGTGGGGAGGGCTCAGGATACTTCGAAAAATTGGATAGGCTGAAGTGAAAGCCACATGGATGCAAATTAAGGTAAAGATGAAGTAGGCGGAGTCTTAATTTTTGCTGAGATTCTGGAGAGTGAACTCGAGAGTGCTCTACCACTGAGCTACATCCCCAGCCCTTTGTATTTTGAGACAGAGTCTCACTAAGTTGCCCTGGCTCACCTCAAATGTGTAATCCTCCTGCCTCAGCCTCACAAGTGCTGGGATTACAGGCATGTGGCACCACACCAGCTAGAAGGAGACTTTTTGATGCCTCTGAGAGTTGGGGACTTTGTCCTATATTCCAAAAAAAGGACTCCTTTTTTATGTGAGAATTTTTGAGAGAGTCTATCCCCACACCTCTGCAGCAATTTTTCAGCTATTGATTCAGAAAAGCTATAGGCACATTTGGATTCTAGAACCTTCTTACAACAACTGCAGTCCCTCGACAGTGCAGAAAGTGGAAGTCAGGAGCCATCAGTTAGAAATCAGCAGGGGTCACTGCCTCAGAGGGGTCTGGGTAGATTGCTAGTGGGGAACGGGCAGGAGGCCAGGCCTGCAGAACAGACTCTTCTCCGGTTCTCAACTTTGCCCTCCTATTTTTTTCCAGGGGCGTATGGGGGCCTCTCAGACCGGCCCTCAGCATCCATCTCCCCTAGTTCGGCCTCCATTGCTGCCTCCCATTTTGACTCCATGGAACTGCTTCCGCCAGAGCTGCCCCCCCGCATCCCCATTGAGGAGGGCCCCCCTGCAGGAACAGTTCATCCCCTCTCAACCCCCTACCCTCCCTTGGACACTCCGGAAACAGCCACAGGTACCAGAGGGGTGCTTGGGTGTCTCTCCAGGCCACTTGCCTGCCTTCCTGACGTTCCTGTCGTGGGATTCCAAGGGATGAGACCCTGGCGGAAGGGGTGGCACATGAAGGGAGGAGGCACTGCAAGTGGCGGGCAAGGCTTTTTCCTCTCAGAATGGGGAAGCTTCCCTGACACCCAGGTTTCCCTCCTCTCTCCTCCCTGAAGGGTCCTTCCTGTTCCAGGGGGAGTCAGAGGGAGGTGAGGGGGACCAGCCCCTCTCAGGATATCCTTGGTTCCACGGGATGCTCTCTCGACTCAAGGCCGCCCAGCTAGTGCTGGAAGGAGGCACCGGCTCCCACGGTGTCTTCCTGGTACGTCAGAGCGAAACGAGGCGGGGTGAATATGTCCTCACTTTCAACTTCCAGGGCAAGGCCAAGGTGAGCACCCCTGAGGCACAGGCTCTGTTCTATGCAGACTGGGGAGCTTGGGGACACCGCTGTCCAGGGGAGGAGGGTTTTGTGGTGGCAGGGGCCTCGGCTCCCACCTTACTTGCTCATCCGGCCCTCAGCACCTGCGCTTGTCACTGAACGAGGAGGGCCAGTGCCGGGTCCAGCACCTGTGGTTCCAGTCTATTTTCGACATGCTCGAGCACTTCCGGGTGCACCCCATCCCTCTGGAGTCTGGAGGCTCCAGTGATGTTGTCCTTGTCAGCTATGTGCCCTCCCAGCGGCAGCAGGGTGAGCAGAGCAGGTCTGCAGGGGAGGAGGTGCCCGTGCACCCAAGAAGTGAGGTGTGTGTGCCAGAAAGCCGGGGCGGGGGGCTGTGAGGAGAGGCTGTTGGGGAGACAGGGCAGCAGAGGCTCCTTGCTAGGGGTCTGGAAGGGATGGAGGAAGGCTGCTAGGGTGTAGGAAGGAGGGCTCCTCGCCAGAGCCGGGCGGCAGCGGAGAGCTGGGCTGGTGCATCCCCATTCCATCGGACTCCTCCGTTCCATCGTCCGTCTGTCTCCTGGTCCATCCTCCCAGCCCTGTCTTTGCCCCTCGTCACTACCTTGCCTTGGGCCTGCCCTCCTGGGGGATGCTTGGTCTGATCCCCCTCCCTCCTCCCTTGATGTCTGATGTCCCTGTCTGATCTCTCCCTCTCCCCCACCCCAATGTCCCATCTGTCCCCACGATGCCCCTCCCCCCCAGGCCGGGAGCAGGCTGGGAGCCATGCAGGGGTGTGCGAGGGAGATCGATGCTACCCCGATGCCTCCTCCACCCTCATGCCCTTCGGAGCGAGTGACTGTGTGTAAGTGTGGTCCTCCTCTCACCTCCGCCCATGATCCATCTTCCATGGGGGGTGCTCAGGAGATGGGCTGGGGGGAGATAGCACATGGCTCCTGGGGAGATGAACGAGGGGCAGGTCCTGCAGGAGCCATCAGTCTGTCTTCTTACCATTCCTATCCAGAACCGAACACCTCCCATGACCTACCCCAGCCCCCTGAACCCCCTTCATGGACAGATCCCCCACATCCTGGGGCAGAAGAGGCGTCGGGGGCRCCAGAAGTGGCGGCAGCAGCAGCCCCAGCAGCCAAAGAGAGGCAAGAGAAAGAGAAAACGGGCAGTGGAGGGGTCCAGGAAGAGCTGGTCCCCGTGGTTGAGCTGGTCCCCGTGGTCGAATTGGAAGAGGCCATAGCACCAGGCATGGAGGCCCAGGGTGGTGCTGGCTCTGGTGGGGACATTGGGGTGACCCCAATTGTGCAGCTCCAGCAGTTACCACTAGGGGGCAACGGAGAAGAAGGGGGTCATCCCAGAGCCATTAACAACCAGTACTCCTTGGTGTGAGACACCCCACCCCACCYTCTCTCCACTCTTCTTGCTCTTCAGTCCTCGGGTCGTGAGGTGGGCTGGGTAGGGACATAGAGGAGACTTGGGAGTCCCCTTCCCACAGGCTTCCTGACCTTGTCAGTCAAGGGCATACGTGCTGGTACAAGCAGAGGTTCGAGAGCCCTGTCAACTCCCTAGTTCGTACACTACAGGCGCCCATCCCCTAGGCAGGGGATTTGGGCTCCATTACCTCCCTGAGGGGCTCTTATGGTCAGCCCCATCCCTGGGGGCCATTTCCCCATCAACTACCCCCCAGCCCAAGCAAGGGTGATGGGGGGAAGGGCTGTCAGTTATTTTAAGGTGGTTGTTGTTGTTGTTTTAAACAAAATGGAGAAGCATAAATAAATAAAAGGGTTTATCTCAGTTCCACCGTGATGGCTGTGGCTAGTGTTTGTGGCGGGGAGCAGGACAGGTGAGTCTGGAAGGCCACTCACTCACTGTTGTGAGCTCCAGAGCTGGGAGGCTGGAGAGCCAGGGTCTCTGTCGCTCTCCACCTGTCTGACTTGGTGAGTGCTAAGCTCAGCAGTGCTTCTTGGGTCTCCAGTAAGGTCTCCTAATGGGACAGGGCTTTGGTGATTGTTAAAGGCCCTTCCTGCCTTAGGAGAAAGCAGGCAGAGAGCTAATGGGCAGAGGGACGGGGCAAGCTGAATGGTGGAGCACTGGCTTCCGGCCCTGGCTCTTTTCTCATTTGCTGTGTGCCCTGGGGGCCAGATGTTCCTGCTCTGGGCCCTGGTGTCCTTAACCAAGATGAGGTTTCATCTCAGTCATGCTGCTGAAGTGATTTGTTTGGTCTGGATAATGTTTCCATTTGAGTGTCACAAACACGTTCAGATTACTGGCTTCCCTTGAAAGTCAGAAGATCCAGTCGCGTGGGTCCAGACTCCACATCTGCCACATCCCTACCAGCTCGTTTCCTGCTCCTACAGGCCTGGCCTGTGGGCATGGAGCTAACAAGGCCTCTCCTCTTGCAGTGCCCCCATTTTTAAACTTGGCTTTCTAAATTGATCTTCTGTGCTACAGCTGTGCCCTCCAACAGAGGGCACCCCTGGACTTTGCAATGCTGGAATGATGGGTGCCAACAAGGGGACACTCAGGTTCTGGAGAATCCCACCTCTGTGCTCAGCCCTCTCCCCGTCTCCTACCATGTCTCTCACTCCCACCCCAGCACCACCTCTCAGCCCCCAGCCTCTGCCCCAGCTCCAGGAGGCCCTACCCATGCTCATGACCTTGCTATTCTGGGCCTTATGTCCTGTAAGAGATGGACAGGAGACAGCTGGGCACACAGGCCACCCAGGCTGGGGACTGGCTGGGGGAAGCCTGCTGGCTTTCCCTGTTTTGTCTCATCCCTGGGGCTCCCCCAAAACTTGGCCTCAGGAGACAGGATAGAATTGGCCATCAAAGGGTGGGGAAGTGCTTTGGAGACCCGGGTGCTATGTTCTCAAAGCAAGATGGCCGATGGCACCCCCCGGGTAGGCAGGGCCTGATCTCATCCTAATTTAGCGGCAACTGGTCCTCTGAGGCTCCCCTTCCCCCCAAACCCTGCTAACCTTCAGGGACTTGCCTTCCAGAGATGAAGCAGGGATGGGCATGGGCGCAGAGATACCTACCCACTCTGCAGACAAGTACATCTCAGCTGAGGGGGCCTCAGACAACTTCCTTCTAAGCCTTTCTTTATAAACTAAAGTTCAGAACCTGTCGGGGATGGGCAGCTCAGCCCTCAAGCAGGAGGAAGAACACCTTCAACCCTGGGCGTAGAGCCCACCGTCGTCGAGAGTCTAAGAGAGCCCTTTATTGCCCATTCTCCCCATCCCAGTCCCCACCGCAGCCATGGCTCCCTGGTGGAGAGCCTCCTGCAGCTCCTGGCTGGTGGCTTTCCCTCTCTGGTTTCATTCTGCCCCTCTGGGAAGCTGGAGGAGGCAGAAACAAATAACCTCAAAGGGCCCCGTTGGCAGGAGCGGCCTGTAAAGCCTGCCTCTTTCCCTGTCTCATACTTGACTCCCCTGAAGCTACCCATCTCCTGTCTCCCCCTCTCCATGTTTGGGCATTCCTGCTGCTGTAAGACAGTGGCCCTGTCACTCCTCCAGGTGTTGCTGGACAGAAGCCAGCCAGTGCCAAAAAGCTTGGCCAGTACTGGGCCTGACTCTGGCCTGAGACAGGGTGCTGGGCCAGGTGGAGGTACCTGTTGGTGTGAGCCCCAATACATACACACCCCATTGTCTGAGGCATCCACCTCCCAGGTCACAGCAGGACTCCAAGGGAGGGGTTTGTGGGAACTGTGAAAAGGGGGAGGGAACACCTTGTCCTCAACTCACCCTGAAGGCTATCCTTCCCCAACTCCAAGCACAAGTCCTAAGTCTAGGAGGCCAAATCCCTCGGTTGCATCCATCTCTTCTGGCCATACCCTCCCCAGTGCAGGGGCTTCCCTGTGCCCTGCCCCACTGCCTCCTGGTCCTGTCTGGAAGTTGGAGCCCAGGAGGAGAAGCAGCCTTAGGAACCCTTTCAGATTATAATCCCAGCGACCCTGGAGGCTGAGGTAGGAAGGACACAAGTTCAAGGCCAGCCTCAGCGATTTAGCAAGACTGTCTCAAAATAAAATAAAATGGACTGGAGATGTAGCTCAGTGGTGAAGCACCCCGGGTTCAATCCCCAGTACTAAAAAAAAAAAAAAAAAAAAAAAAAAAAAAAAAAGGTGTGGTAGCACAGCCTGCAATCTCAGTCCCAGTGATTCGGGAGGCTGAGGCAGGATTGCAAGTTCGAGGCCAGCCTCAGCAATTTAATGAGATCCTATCTCAAAATAAAAAAACAAAAATGGACTGGAGATGTGACCAATGGTAAAGCACCCCTGGATTAAATCCCCAGTACCAAATTAATTAATTAATTAATAATAATAATAATGATAACTTTTCAGTCATCTGTACATTCCTTGTTCACGGCAGGAAACTGAGGCCCAGGCAGAAGGACTTGAGCCCAGGGTCACTGGGCTGCTTGCTGTCACTCACCTTTCACACTGCTCCCATGGAACCTCTGCTGGCTTCCCTCCCCTGCCCACATGCTCCCTGGTACCCAGTCTGCTTCTCCAGCAGCTGCCTCGGTGGAAACCAAAAGACGCAGGGTGGGGAAGGGCGGCTCAGAGCAGCTGCTCCTCTCAGGAAGCTGACACCAAGGCCAGCCGCTCAGCAACAACTTGTGGCTTTGCACCCAACCCTGGGGTCCCCGCCCACCTGGCGGCCACTAGCCAGCTCCCGCTGTCCCTTTTCCCACTGCTTCTCACACTTCCCATCTTTCCGCTGGCTCCGTCTTTCCCAGCTCTGTCCTTTCCTCCTGTCTCCCAGACCTGTTCCCCAAGTCCGCCCCCTCCCTATTCCTTTGGACCGGAGCCTCTGCTCTATCCAGCTTCCCAGGTGCCTGTCAGTGGGGCAGGCCCAGCCCCTGCGCACAGCCTGGGTCTGATCCTCATTCCCTCTCAAGGGTGTTGAGGCATCAGTGCCAGAGTACAGTGATGACGACATGCTTTGGGGTCTACCATATAACCCCCCTGGGTCAGAGCGAGCACAGTGGGAAATGAAGCGACATTCATTCCATGACTTGGGGTGACCCCCGCCCCCATCCTGAAACAGTTATCCCTCCCCCTCTGCCATCAGCACATTCTGTAGCCTCTTGGGTTACCTGGCTGCCTGAGTGTCCCATTTTCCTGTCAGGATTCCCTGTCAGGGATGGGGGGGCACTGAAGGCTGTGTTCCCAGAGGCTGAGCTCGAGCGATGGGGGGAGGCGGTTTAGGGGAGAGACAGGCAGTGCTGGCTTTGCTCACCAGGCCCTGGACACTAAATCCCTTGTTGATGGCTGCAGCAACCCCTCCCTAGGGTAGGGTTACCATCTTCAGCCCTGTCCCCTTGACCCTCTCCCCTCCCTACTTCCCCTTGTCCCTCTAGAACTACTTCCTCTGGTCCCCAAAAGATGTTCTTCCCTGCTTTGGTCCCCTGAAGGCTTGGAGTATCTTTGCTGCTACTCCCACAACACACCAGGTGAGACAGTAGGCAGGCCCTGGAAACGGGTTCGGGGTAGGTAAGACTGAGATGGAAAGAGGGTGTGACTGAAACAAAGGGCCAGGCCCCAGAGTGGAAGAGGACGTAAGGGAAGAACTGGGGGGATGAGTCTGGGACTGGAAATTCAGTCATCAGGGGAAGTTGAGGCCATTGGGGGTGGGGTCAGTAGCAGATGATAATGAAGTCTATCCTTGCCCCCCCCCCCCAGGGCCAGGGCCACCTCTGCTTCCCTCATGAGTGACATCTCAGGCTGCAGCCCCACTGTTCCCCTCTGTCAGCAGAAATATCTCTCTCTTCTGACCCCTCCTGCTAGAGTCTCAGCCAGCCAATCCCTGATCTGGGGGAGGGGGGAGCCTGGCCCCCCCCACTCTCTCATAAGGACCAGCTGGGGGCTGGGGGGGTGGCCGGCTGCCGCAAGTGGGACGGGGGTCAGAGCTTCGTGGAGAGAAGGAAAACCTGGGGGGGGCAGGCGAGAAAAAGGAAGAAACCCAGACTATAGGCAGGTAGAAACACTGAGGAAGGCCCCCACGCCTGAGAGTCCCCCGGAAGGAACACACCGCCCCCTGGCCCCCAAGAAGGGAGCACAATGGAGGCTGCACATGCCAAGAGCACAGAGGAATGTTTGGCCTATTTTGGGGTGAGCGAGACCACGGGCCTTTCCCAGGACCAAGTTAAGCGGCATCTGGAGAAATACGGCCCCAATGGTAAGTGTCCCTTGGAAAACAGACTGGTAGCACCCACATGCATACTCGGAGCTGCTCCTCCAGAGTATCCTAGGGACATGGTCTGATGGTTGCAGCAGGGAGAGGATACTGAGCAAACTGGGTCTGAGATGTGGAGTTTGGGGAGGTTTTACGGGATGACCTTGTGAACCTCAGGTGCCCTATTGGTGGCCTTAGCCACAAACTCTTGGGCGTGGGGGCCAGGAGGCTGAACCCCAAATGAACATGTCCTTTTCTCCTTTTTCCCTGCATAGAGCTCCCTGCAGAGGAAGGTAAGTAGGGAAGCCCTGAGCCCTCATAAATGACCCACCCTTCTCCCTGCCATACAGACCCCACACTCCTTTCCAAAAGGCAAAGATCCCCTTCCCAGACATTGCAGTATCCAAGGCAGAAGTCTCCAGGCACTTTCTCCTTGAGGCATCCCACCCTTGAATAACTGTCCACTATTTTGAGGAGCCTGCCTTTTGGACTCCGGGCAGCTCCCTCTGCCATTCTCTCATACAAGCCCCTGCCCATCATCCTAGGGATTCAGGGCACTACATTCCCTGGACCTCAGCCTATATGCAAAGTCCCAGAGTTCCATCCTTTGGATCTTAACCCGGGGGGACC